GATATTAAGAAAAATTCTTAAAAATGTTTGTTTTCTACACCCTATATCTCACAAACGAAGCGTTTTAAGACCTATGTTTATAGGAACTTTTCTTATTAAAAAATGATTCTCTATCAACTGTTATTATTCATTCTATCGTTTTTTTTTTATTTTCAGTGCACATTATATTTTTCTTATTAATTCACAAATGTATTAGGTACCAATATCGTTGGAACAGTTTCATGCCAAATGAATTTAACCAAAAACCGTTCATTTTATAAAAAATTGAGAGCTGTTTTGTTTAGAATTGATTAAAAAATTTAGAAATGATGTTATTTTCCAGAAAAATCCACGGGCGTACGAATTGTTTTTTTAAAGGGATCAGTAACCCACCTCAGGCACGTCACTGGTGTGTGAAATGGATAACAGATATCTTTGTTTTATTCACCATAACTAATGTGGTATTAATACCAAATTTCAGTTCAATATATGTTGGTCTTTTAGTGATATTAAGAAAAATTCTTTAAAAAAGTTTGTTTTCAACACCCTATATCTCACAAACGAAGCGTTCTAAGACCTACGTTTATAGGAACTTTTCTTATTAAAAAATTATTCTCTATCAACTGTTAAAATCCTACTACAAAAAACTGACTCACCCTGTATAACTGCAAATTAGAATAATTCCATAGCGCGATGGTAAATAAGAAATGAAGAAACGGTTTGAAAATAATTTTTTGCACTATTCACTTAATGCTGCTTTTTAAGTCATAAAAAATATAATTGAGTACCACCTGGTGGCGAAAGACAGGAGGGATTGCATATTAGTTTTAAAATCTGATTCACGTTTATTTTTAGAATTTAAATTAGTTTTATATTGCTTTCTTGCGACTAATGACTGTTATTTCATTAAAAAATTATATTTAGGCATGCTCGCACTAATTACAACCCATTTTGCTAACTATTACTAAAATATTCTTTTTATCGGGGTAATATTTGCATTGTCTTTCGAGTCCCTCTCTGGAGTGACCTAAAGAAGTCACGGATCCATTTATATCATGATTTAGGGGACATTTCTAGGGTTTTGCTACTGCGCAATTAAAATTATGGGTGATGCTGATGAAGAGTTGGTTACCAGGGTATAAGCCAAAGCTTACGGTTCAAGATACAAACAAATTTGTAGGAACAATTAGATTCATTAAAACTTATATTTTAGCTAATTGCTTCTCTTTATAACTTTTATCTCGATAATGCTTCTTAACTTCCAACACCGTAAGGCCAATTTAAAAAAACATTTCAATGAACTTTTACATTTTAAAGAAAACTTCATTTGCTAACATTATCCTAGAAAGTTTACGATTATATATGCATACAGGGTGTTTTAGGTATTACTAAACCGGTCTTCAGCTTTTGTGCCATATTTCTAGTGGTGTAATAGTACTATTACAAATATACAGGGTGCACAACGGAAGACCACATATTCGTGGACTTAAAATAGGCTGATTTAGGCTAATTCACCTATACCTATCGAAAATTACTTCGTTTTACCTCTTGTAGAGATTTTGATTAAATGAGCGGTTTGGGTACAAAAAAATATTTTTTAAATGTTTATATTATCTTGCCACCCTTATACAATACTTAACAAAGTGCTAGTAGGCTCTGATTTTGTAGGTTGACTGTAATTTCAGTTTGATCTTGTTTGGGATAGCATTATTATTAGCCCTGTTATTCTACCCAATAGATTGAATGCGGAATTTTATTTAGAATTTTTGCAAAACCTCGAGTTAATGGAAGATGTCTCGTTATTACTCAAAGCTAACATGTGGTTTATGCATGACGGTGGTCCACCACATTTCACTGTAAATATCCGGCAATATCTGAATCAAAGATTCCCTCGTCGATGGATAGGTAGAGGGGATAATGATCCTGTTCACTGGCCTGCACGTTCACCAGACTTAACAACTTGCAACTATTATCTCTGGGGCACTCTGAAAACAACAGTGCATCATAGTTGTCATTACTCGAAAGATGAAAAGTTATGAACGGATATTATCGCCATATATTAATTTTGTAGGAGTTGTGAGTTTTAAAAAACACTCTGTATAACATCAAAAATGATCACAATCGATTAATACATATACAAAAAAGTGGTGAGTAAGGCGAAGTAGACATTGTGTGTATGCCGTCGCCTTATTGGGAGCACCTAGGGACTGAAACCAAAGATGTCATACTGGTTGTATTCGTCGATAGTAAGACCTAGGATTCTTTACGGCGCTGTGGTATGGTGGCAAAAAACACAACAGACCACAGCGAGGGAAAAACTGAATAGAATTCAGAGATTGGCCTGTTTAGGTATAACGGGGGCGATGGCATCGACCCCGACAGCTGCACTAGAAGTCATGCTAAATCTGCCACCGCTGCATATAGTGGTGGAAAGAGAAGCGCGGCTAGCAGCATATCGACTCAGGAATAACAATGACTGGAGGGGTGATTCCCACTCCAGGATCCTAGACACATCTATGTCGGAATCAACTCTTGGGATGGTATCCGACAAGATGGTCCCAAGTTTTCACTTCCACAAGCCATTTGAGACTCGAATAGAGGATCAAAGCAAGTGGAAGGAAAGGTTTAATACCCTGGAAAGGTGGAGCCTAGTATGGTTTACAGATGGCTCCAAAATGACCAGAGGGACGGGTGCAGGAATATATGGACTCAGACCCAGATGGAGTGCAAGCTACAGTCTGGGGGAGTTCCCTACTGTATTCCAAGCAGAAATCTTCGCGATAATGGCGTGTCTGGCAGAGAATGTACGTAGAAGTTATAGACGTAAACTCATATATATATTCTCTGATAGTCAAGCTGCAATTAAAGCTTTAGCCGCACACAAGGTAAGTTCAAAACTGGTGTGGGACTGTTTACAAATGCTGACTGAACTGGCCACCAACAATACAGTCAGACTGTGTTGGGTGCCAGGGCACAAAGGCATTTGTGGAAATGTGAAAGCGGATGAACTTGCTAGGAAGGGATCCGAGACAGTGTTCATTGGCCCGGAGCCCTTCTGTGGCACATCTCCCAGTGTGGTCAGGCGGGCTCTGGGCAAATGGACAGAGACAGAACATAGGAAATACTGGACTTCAAGGCCAGGACATAGCCATTCTAAGGAGCTTATGGAGTATCCTTCGAAGGGAAGAGCGAATGAGCTACTGAGCTTGAATAGAATCCGGCTCAGGAGAGTGACAGGACTCATAACGGGACACTGTCACTTTAGAAAACATCTACATAAGCTAAAGTTTGTAGACAGTCCAGTCTGCCGAGGATGTGAATCAGCGGATGAAATTTCTCTGCATATCCTGGGCGAGTGCCCGGGATTTGCACGTAGCAGAATGACGCTCCTTGGGAGACCCTATTTGGAACCCAAGGAATTGAGAGAAGTGTCAGCAAGGAAGCTTTTGGACTTTGTAAAAAGGACAAATCTACTTGCTGAATGGGACTAGTAGTGGGACGCACAATGGGCCTAATTAGGCCGCAGTGCTATGGGACTTTTTAAAGGACCAACCACTAGATGAATAAGAAGAAGAAGAATACATATTCAAGTTATTTACAACATTCAAAAAATTTTGACGAACTTTGAGGCCATTTAGCGGCCAAACGAAGCGATTTCGGATATAGGTGAATTAGCCTAAATCTGCCTATTTTGAGTCTACGAATCTGTGGTCTTCCGATCTACACGTTATTCTGAGACACCCTGTAATGGATATCTTCAAAGGATATCTTCATACCGGTCTTCCTCGTTCAATTCATCTTACTTCTTGAATTTCATTAATGCAATCTTGGAAAAATTTGTGAAAAATTAGGCACACTATTGCAAGAAACACATCTGTTGTCGAACAAGTAGTCATATTTTCAAAAAGGCCAGGCAAACAATTTCGGAGAATTTGGCGATATAAACGATCCAATTAAATGATGGCCGATTCCTGCACAAATATTCAAAGAAAATTGGGCGAGAAGTGATCTCGTTGATTCGCTTGCGGATTTTCAAGTTCCCAGTTATGTTTGTAGTGAACATTATTTATCCCATTTTATGTAAACACAGCTGCATCTGTCTGTAACTAACACATCATGTGTAAATAGTGGATTTTGAGCATTTTGTTGTAAGAACCATTCATAAAATCTAACGAATAATTCGCTAATACTAATGGTTAGACATGTTACAATATATGATAGGGATATGTGCATTTGAACCTCGTCTTATACGCCACACATTGGTTGGAACATGTCAGGAACTTAACGAATGATTTGACTTGGATACCTGTGATCTTCATCTCTTCCATAATACTGTCACAAATCTCTTTCACGCACTCGTTGAACCACCGCAAAAAAGTTGACACGTGTGTACTCGAAAACCGTTCTGCATACAAGCATGAAACTGTTAATACATTTTGTCTTGCTTCTACATAAATTAAAACAATATCTATTAATTCTGTATTACTATACATACGAGTTATAGTCCATTTTGAGCACTTGTAAAACTGATCTAAACAATAAACCACGGTGATCAGAACGCAAAAAACTTAAGATGCATTTTAATAAAAGCACTACAGTCGTTCAGCTATGTAGTGCTTGTAGGTAAAACCATTTCAAATATTTTTTTCTCGAAATCAATAAATATTATGTTATAATTCTTGAACGCTGCATTTTTTTGGATAAATTACAAATCACCCTGTATACTTATATTATTTTTTAAAACTGTGTTTACTAAAGTAATCTAGTACTATATTTTACTTTACATAGTTTGTGTGTGTTCTTCTATCTCAGCGTTTTTATTAATGTAGAACTGTAGAAATGTACTCTTTTAATAACATTCAATGTTAGGAAAAACTGTCAGTGGAATGTATTTATAGTTAATCCCAAATTACAAAACAAATACACACATAAACAACTTAGTCAATTTTGAACGTATACTCCGTACAATAAAACTTTCAACTTTCCTTATAAAAATAATTCGAAGGTATAATAAAACTTACCATTTTATTGTTAATCTCATGGAAGTGAATCTCGCAAACTTTATCTACAACATCTTCGCTTTGAAATGTGACAAACCCAAAACCTGGAACAAAAAGATGTACTTTAATATGACTGTTCGATGGAAACTGTCTTTCTTATTGGTTCCAGTTCCGCCATTTATTATTTTCTGCCGCTACGCTTACTGGCTACGGAATGCTTATTTTAAAACTTTTTATGGCATGTTACATTAAATTATCGAACTTGTGTTTCAAGAACCTCTTCAAGTAATAAGATCTTTTGTTACTTCGAGATGAACTGACGTTTATAGGAGCTGCAATTACCGATTTGTCTCAAAACAGATAATTTCTTATACATCTTTTTTATTTAATATATCAAAATAATGTAATACGGAACTTTTACAGCGTTACATTAGGGAATTAGTAGTTAACATTTTGGTTATTTTAAAATACCATCAAAGTAATAAAATGCTGACATTTTAAGGTTAGGTTGCCACAATTTAATAAACAGTGATATATCAACTAAAATTGATCTCGACGTCTTCGCACCCTAACTCTGACCTTTTAACTCAGTTCAGTGTTAATATGGGTATTATACATTGTGAAGATGATAGAACTAAACTGCCATTTACTTAGGCTTTGAATTTGAGGAGGGTAAGGCAATTCCCAATGAACTTGTACGAAGTATCTTATATACCCCATACCGACAAATATTAAAATTGATTGATCAAGGAACTGAATATACAACAAACACAAAATTTAAAAAAATGCTGAATGCTTAACTGTTGCCAAATATCATTTTATAATTGCTTTATTTTTCTCAATGTGTCCTTTATCAGTGCAAAAACAAAAAATGTGTAGAACTGGGAAAAACAAGAAGAAATTTAAATAATGAAGTACGAACACCTAAAAATAAAACTACTTGTGGGCAAAGATGTTTTACTTACCTTGCAGTCAGAGCTTACAATTCATTGCCTAACTGTATAGATGTATTACATCTTTCAATAAAATAAAATCAAAAATTAAAGAGTATATATTAGAAAAGTGTAGGTCAGAAATACATAACATTATTAACCCCAAACGATACTTCAACAATATGTTTTAAGTTTCATCCCATAGTCAAATTTTGATAGTATTGTATAAAAAATAAAAAAATGATTGATGTTTACGTTTTTCAGTGTGAAGATTTGTAATTACATTAATAGAAAATTATAATATGTTTGTGTGGAATATTAATAGGTAGTTAGAAATATTATGTATATGTAAGTAGGTTAGGTATATACATATTTAATATTACTTGATTACTTGATTTTACTAGTAAGATACTACTTACTTATTTACGTACACCGGCTCTTATTGTTTATATGTGTGTATGATATATGTTATTGTTATCGCTGCTGAGTAAATAAACTATTCTATTCTATAATTATTAAACACTGCAAAATAACTGCAAATAGTTAGTGTGAGTGACGTCATAGATAAGATTTTTTTCTGTGGGCCATCGTCTTCTAGTTTTGTGATACAGGACGTCAATTTTATCCAATCGTTTCCAAAAAACAAAATATTGCATTAATATTACAGATTTGAGGTTATTAAGGAGGTTTATCTAATTTGAAGTTGACAGACAAATATTCATAAAAAAATTAATATAAGCTTATTAATATGAAGAAAATCCTCAAACAAAATTATGACTAGTTTGGATATCTAAGAGACGAGATATTAATAAAATAATCGAACGAATCGAATACGAAGTCTTATGAGAACAGATTGTTTTAGTCTTTCCACTTAGAATGCGCAACAAGTGACGAACAGTTTCTACAGCAACTTATATAAATAGGAGGAAACCAATATCTAAGGAACCGTATGACAGCTTGTAGAAATCGATTAGGTACTTGTAAGATACATAATTTATAATAATTCTCCTTCAAACTGCTGTTGTTGCGTGATAGCGGCAACGCCGCGATACTCGACATAGCGTATTATGTGAAATTCGCAGCTGTGACATATGATCCAAGCCGAGCCGAGCTCGCCAGCCAAGTGCAACGTTGCCAAATCTAAGTGCATACTACTTTAGTCACTAGCGAATCTACAGAAACTCTCGTTAGACTTTAGACGTACCCCCGTACCCGATAAGGTTTTGTACAATGTATTACAATGTAAAATTACATTATACACAAAGGGCGTACCCTTCCTTTGAAAATCCGTTTTCACATTTGGGTATGAAATAATTACCTGCAAAGCGATTATGCTGATATAACTAAATTTGATTTTAGTATAAGCGTCCGGTTTTTAATGATTGAGAAAAGGGTTGACCTTTTTAATTAAATATATTAGTGACTTTTTATCTAAAAATTAATAGGTACTGTATTCTATTTGAATGTGAATTTGAATGAAATATGTAAATACAGTGTATGAAAGTACCGATGGTCTATCAGAAGTTACGTGAGAGCGATAAAGTAAGCCATAGAAATCAATGTGATAGACAAGGATGGCTATAATGAAGGCGTCAACGCCCATTTCGCCCTTCCACAAATAAGAAGTGGATCTTATTTGTGGAAGGGCGAAACGGGCGGTGACTAAGAGACGCCTTCATTATAGCCATCTTTCTCTATCGCATGTATTTCTATGGCTTACTTTATCGCTCTCACGTAACTTCAGATAGACCATCGGTACTTTCCTACCCTGTATAGGGATACCAAAATATTTGTTTTTTTCTGTATGACCGTTAACTTCAAACCAATTAAAGTTACCTAAATAAACTTACTTTTGCTTTTTATAAAACTATCCAATTCTCAAGATTTTTTTTTATGGTTGGTAAATTAGGTCTAGGAATCTGCCTGACCCTGTTTTTTTCATATTTATTGAAAATATTCACAGCAAAAAATACATACCAAAAGACAAAGAAAATAATAAGACATTAAATAACTAAATAATACTCTCCATTTCAACTAACAAACTTCCTTTTCCTGTTTAATTTTATTTTCTAAATCTCTAACAGTTATAAAGTTTTTTCTTAGTAGTATTCCAGAACTAGAGAAAACTAACGTTATTTAACGTTGTAATTTTGTTTCATCTTTTGCTATGTAAATATTATAATTAATATGAATATTTTTCATAAATGTGGAAATATTAGGAACATGTATAGGTCAAACTAATATTTTTTTTAAAGACAAAAAATGGCTTAATATAAAACAAAAAGTAAAACGCAAATTTTATTTAACTTTGATAGTTTCTGAATCAACGGTTATGCTAAAATAGAAAAACTAAATTACTCACATCTTGAGCACGTTTAAAGATATTTTGTTCACATTTTGTACAGAGGGATTTCTATGATGCTACATTAGATTGTATTACAGTTTTAGTTTAAAAAATCGCTAATATACATATTTTTAAAAAGTTCACCATACTCTTAATTTTAGAACGGATGCCAATGCTAAAATTGTATTTGGCTATATCAGAATAGTAGCTTGGCAGGTAATTATTTCCAACTAAAATATTAAAAGTTCCAATTAAAAATGTACGAGATATCTGCATATAAGGAAGGTTCGATCAAAAAGGAGAAACACAGTGTACATAACAGGACAAATATAATTTTATAGTTGGAATTTGATGAAAGATCCTATACAGAAGAAAAATTGTTTGTTTTCCGAGTCACAGTTAATTAACAGAATAACATATTTGAAATTAACTGAAATGAAATTGAAAAAAAAAGAAATAATTACACGGAATACCTTCAACACTAGGAAAACATTTTTGTAATTTTTATTAGTTCGTAAATATGGCTTTTTAAATATTGTAAAAACTCTAATTGATCTATTTATCATTACATTTGTATTACAGTCATATTTAAATAAATGATTATATGTACAATTTGTGCAATACATATAGTCCGTACGATATTTGTTGAGATAGAATTGCAAGGAGCTGCGCCATTTTCTTTCAATGCATTCGACACCTGAGGTAGAAAGACAGTGGCGGAAAATTGCAAGGCACGCTCCTGCTGTGATACATTGTTATAGTAGTTCCAATAACAGAACTTTATAGGCTTATTCTTTTTTGGAATTCTATCTCAACAAATATCCACTAATATAATAAATAAAAAATATATTTTTTTAAAAACTTTAAAGTGTATTTGAACACATAATGTTTTAATTATCCGTTATTCTTCTACACCATCCATATTCCCGTCATGTACCAGTTTTTATCAAAACCCATTCCTTTCAAATGTTTTATTCATTTAATTAAATTACTTCCGAATTAATGTTGAAAAGAGACAGAATTTACACTTTCGCACGAACGATTTATACTTTTCCTTGCAAATTTAATTTGTAATTGAAAAAAAAAAATCATTTCAATCATTTCAAAGGGTGTAAAATTACGAGGTGATATTATATTTTGTATAATGAAATCACTAATGTAGTGGGTTCGTTTAGCGAATTTTAGTTTTGTTTTTTTTTTAAATCTTTTTAAGAAATATTCAAACTGGTTATGAAAAGCAAATTTTGCGTTGGAGTGTCCTAGATAAGTTATTATTGAATTATAGACTTTGAAATTTCACTACAGGAAACTTATAAAAGCATACAATAAACTTTCAACGTAGTCATATTCCACTAAAGCCTTGCCTGAAGACTAAACTTTGTGTTTTATTTTATATTTAGCTTTATTACCATTCTGTCCCGACATATTATTTCGTGTGAATATATTCACAATATACAGGGTGTTTGTAAATAAGTGCGAAATATTTTAGGGGTGGTTGTCGAAGATATTTTGTGAAAAAAAGTTCATATAAGCGTGGGTCGAAATATGCTTCATTTCCGAGATACAGACTGTTTAAATTTTAATTTTTCATTAATTTTTATTATTTCAGAGTATTAAAGATGACTCGACATTTGAAAAACGCTTTAGAGGGATAAATGTGCATTTTTTTGGGATGATCCAAATATTTCTACTTGCATCAATGGCGTTCGTGCGAGAATGCCACAAACTTTTTTAATAAAAAAATGGTACGCCACTGACTTTCCGGTTTTGATACTTTTTAGAAATCCGCTATCAATTCTGAATAAAATTGGCCTCTTCAAATTTTTTC